AAGCCAAGGACTTCATGCCCACCAGCAAAGGTACAGCTTGGCCTTTGCCTCGGGATCATCCATTTCCCTGCCTTACCTCATCCTACCCGTTCCCAGCCCTCTAAGGACCCGTTGCAAACCCTGGCCTGGGAAGTCTAAGCAGGATCTATGCAAACCTAAGGTCAGCCCATTTGCTTCCCTCCCTGAGGTCAGGCCTCCCAGTCATACCCTCCCCACCCCCAGGGGATAAATCTGGTGGATCCTGGACAAACTAGAGATGAGCCTAGCCTAGGAAGTCCAGTTCTAGGCAGTGAACTTTCCCACTCAGTCTTTATCCATTTCCTTTCTTGGGACGTCAAGAATGTCTTCATGATTCAGCATAGCTTATTCTGGCTGTGGTCTTCTGAGGACAGACCTCTACAGTTTTGAGGTGCGTGGCCCTTAGTGGGCATGCTCCCTTTTCTTAGTGATACTCACCTTCCTACCCTTCTCAGTGCATCCTGAGTGTTTATATTAGGGCTGGGGCAGAGGGCACTTCCCTAGCAAGGAGTGGGATTTTCTTTCAGGCCTCCATGGCCACGAGCTGTAGCATTTTTCAGGCCAGTTAGAGTTGGAGGCAAGTGAAAGTTTGAGGGCTGAGCCCACAGCTTAGCTTTTAAAGAATATTTTGGGTGAGCACAGTCTCATCTTTGGGCCAGAGGACCTAGGGTTCTCTTCCAAGTGCGTAAACATCTGCCTCAACCCTCAATTTCTTCCTGCACAGCCCCACAGGATCAGTGACACTCAAGGGTTTTCTGCTTCTAGTTCTAGACTTTTTTCTTCTCCTTCTTCTTGAAAGAATTCCTAGAACCTCCTAGCTCAGTGTCATCTGCAGAGTTGGTGGCTCTCACCATTTGGTTTCTCTCTCTATATATATATTCTTGTCATTTTCTCTCCATCTTTGTCACCCTTCTCTCTCCTCTGTTGGCTCTTTAGCAGTTACTCCTAAAGCGGTTATTCGCCTACTCCTTCCTTCCACCAAGGGCTGATCATGAGTCCACAACTGCAGTTCCTCAGAGGGGCCCTGTCACATGGTTTGTGTGTACTGTCCCTTAGGGCCAGATCTGGAATGTTCAAGTGATAAAAAGAAATCCTGCCAAGCCTAACAGAGGAGCTTGTGCTCTGCCACAGGGCAGCTTCCTAGAAGGGTCCTTTCTCAGGGAGAAGTAGGCAGGATTGCTGAAGGCCTTTTTGGCTCCTACACTGCTCAAACTCAGAGCTGTTTGTTTCGTGGCACACTTGCATTTTGGCTTTAGCCCCACTAGTCTCTCCACCCCCGTACCTCACCCTAAGCAGCCTTCAGGAACTCATTGCCATCTTGGGGACCGCCCCTATCACAATTACATCAGCAACGGCTGGTGTAATCAAACCCCATTTGTCAGTGTGAATTCTTAGCAGATTAACTTGTCAGATTCACAGAGAAACCGTCACCAAATGTTTATGTGTAAACGATGTTGAATTTTAAAATCATGTGGATTATGGCGGATGGGGCCTGACAAGATGACAGTCTCTGGTTTCTAACAAAGTGAAGTTACCAGTGTCAAAACAGAGGATGTTTATTGTTAAAACTGTCTCAAAGTATCCACAGAAACCCCTGCAGACCCCTGCCAGCAATGCTGGGCCTTGGTTGGCCTGGGACTCTCCTTGTCTGAGGCCCAGGGTAGGAAGAATGGGGCTCCAGCCAGCCAGCTGGGAGCCCCGTGTAGCACCACACTCTACCACCACCCTACTTCATACTTACATACCCCAGGGTGTCAGTCCCCATCCAAGCAATGGAAGGGGTCTCCCATTACCCATGGCCACCACCTTCTCCCTCTGCCCATCACAGCCCTGTGCCTCCATCACACCTTCCTTCCTCCTCTCCTCCTCTCCCATACCATCAACCCCACAGGATTCTCCCTCCCTCATCCCCCAAACAACTCCTGAGGCTGAAAGCCAGTTCTTAGCCTCCCTGCCTAGAGCTGGCAAGCTTGAAACTTCTCAGGTCAGACATGGATCTTAGCAGTCCCCCAGCCCACGCAGCAGCGAGCACTGCAGGACATTTCCTGAGCTTCGCTGTCTACAGGACCTCCTCCAGAAAATGCCCAGCCTGGAACTGAGAAGTGGATTTGCCGCCTGAATGGGCATGCCAGGGAGAGGGTATCACTTGTCTGAGTGAGTGGCCCTGCTTTAAGTTTTCTCCAGTACTTTAAAGGTTAAAGAGGGGAAGAGAGGTAATGGCAGGATTAAAAACTCTTCTAAAAAGAAAGGCAGCTATCTGTGCTGATATGAAAGATCTTTAAAGTATATAAAATTCAAATAAAGTAAGTATGACTAGTATGATTAACATTGTTGTAGGACACACACGCACATACACGTATAAGTACTTGTAAATGTGCTTTAAGAAATCTGGAAAGAAATAAAGAACTACCCCTTAGGTATGAGACAGAGAGCTGAGAAGACAATCCTGACTCTCTGCTCTTCTATACTGTTTCATATACATGGATTAATTTAATAGAAGAAAACCATTTGGCTACAGCCACAGAACCCCTTGACACAACTCTTCTAGGGACCCTTGCCCACCTTCTCAGAGCTCTGCTTAGCTAGCCTCTCACCACACTTAGGAGCCATGCATTTGGCTTCTGTGTATCTTTGCTTTTCTATATCTGGATGTTTCAAGCCTTGGCCTTGGAAGGAGATGTGCGAAAAAGAGAGTGGTATTGTGAGCCCAGGGCCAGCCATGCAGTCAGGAGTGAAACTGCTTCTTCAGTTCAGAATTCTGGAAGACAAGTCTGTGGAGGCCAACAGGTTTGGGCAACTCTCAGACACAAGGCAGAACAAAGTCCTGTATGGGAGATGGGAGTCCAAAGCAGAAGAGCAGCCCTGGTCCATCCCGGCCCTTTCTAAACTGTAGGGGAAGGACACCCCGGACCAAGAGTCTGGGTGAAGGAAAGGACTTATGGAAAGGCCAAGAAAAGGCTGGTGTTGTCCCCTCTAGTCCCACTTCCCCTTCAAAGCAATTATCTCTGCCACCTCTCCTCAGTGAAGCCCTTCTGCCTTCTGTGCCAACAGAGGAGCCAATCCGCCTCCTGCGGGAGGTGGTGCTGCTGACTGATGACCGGAACCTGCGTGTAAAGGCACTGACGAGGAATGTGCCTGTGCGGGACATCCCAGCCTTCCTCACATGGGCCCAGGTGGGCTGAGGGGGCCATGCCAGGGCCCACCCCCATGGAACCGTTCCTGAGAGGCCACCAGGCGCCAGTGTAGCACGGAAGATGCCCACGTGCCTGAGCCACCAATCCACCCAGACAATAAACCATCCTCTTCCAACCCACGCCGTGGCCGTGCTGTGAGGGAGCTGCTCCTCACAGAGCCCCTCCCAAGGGTCGGGCGGAAGCTGCTGGGACCCTCCTGGGCTGCCAGGATTTAGCAGGGAAGTGGCTGGCTACCGCAACAACAGGTGGGCAAGCCAGATAGGCCGCCAATTCTCTCAGCCTTTCTCCCTCCCATCTCATTCCAGGGCTGGGGGAAGGCCAGCTCACCCCAAGGACTTGCCACCTTTCTCCAGTGGTGATGGGGTAGAGAATTTACAGTTTCCATCAGAAGCAGGTGAAATCACGGGCCCCTTTATTTTGCAGAACCTTTGTCTTGGATGTATCCAAGAGGCTTTGGCTATGGTGACAAGAGTGCCCAGGGTGTCTCTCCATCTCCCTGAGGCCTGGATCCCCCACGGATCCAAGTTAGGTTCTGGACACCATGTCCCTAACAGCAGCCCTATGCCCCCCACCTCTTCTAACCGCACCCAAACACCCATACCCATCCTGCTGTTCCTTTCCCATCTTGTTACTCCTTTTCCCACCCACATCAATGGGTCCCTTGCACTCTGCCCCTTGGTTTCCCTTGGATGATCATGGGTCTAGAGGGAAAGGAATCTGGTCTCAGGCCCATGCTTCCTGGGTGGCCTTTACCTGTTTCCTCTCCCCCATCAGCCTGCCTTTTTCTGGAACCCCTCTGTGGGAAATTTCCTCAACTCTTACCATTCCCCTCCTGCCTGCCCTCCCTCCAGAATATCCTCTCACCTGCTTCCCTTTCTAGTTGGTTTCTTTCACCCTCCCCAGCCCTCCAACTTCCTCAGCTCAGTTCTTGTTGTGGAAGTTATCACTCTGAATTTTCCTCCTCTGCTACCTGTGTCAGGAACCTAATAAAACTTTCCACCTATCTTTCCTTCCCAAACCCCTGTGCTGAGAAGCTTTGAGGCTGGTATAGCCCAGCCTGTGGGTAGAGCAGTCTAGTGCCCGGAGGGGCTTTTCCTCACCTGGCATGTTCACTGTTTCTGGCTTTGCCCTCCGCTCCCCAGAAGAACTGACACAGGGGCCCTTTAGCCTTTGAGTTTTTTCTTGCGCAGTTACCTGGTATCCATGTTCACGACCTCACACTAGAGGCGTTCTCTATCCAGTTCCTCCAAACCAAGGGTAGAGATAAAAGAGGACTTAAGGAAGGCAGGGTCTGAGGTGGGACAGAGGTGAATCTTGATGGGACCAGTGGGGGAATCCCCCAACAACCCACTGACCAGGTATAGCCTGCCCAAAGGATGGGAGTTATGCCTTCCCAAAGGCCCAAAATAATGCCTGAAAGTGGGGGCTCTGCAGCAGAGCCAAAGCCAGTAGTGTGGGGGGTCTAAGTTCCCCAGACCCTCAACTCAGAAGACTGGGCTCTTTGGGTTATAGGATCCCCAGCCTCTCCTTTAAGATCCTCTCCCTGACTGAGTCCAATGACTGGGTGGGTGGGAGACCCATCTCTTCTTTCTGTCCCATTTGCAGCACTGGTTTTGTTTCCTTAATAAATTTTTAGTTATGAAACATGTCTGACCTTTTGCTGATGTCTTTCTGGGATTGGGGAGGGGAGGCAGATCCGAGCTTGTACACCTGTATGTATGCAGCTCTTCCACCACCCTGGTGCAGCCCACCCATGTCCACGTGCAGGGGCAGAAGACAGGAGCAGGATTGGGAACCTTGGTTACTGCTTTATTGCTGTTTGGTTCGAGTATAGAAAATGGAAGCGGCTCTGAAAGAGCCTGTGTACAAGGTAGGAAATATACAAAATAGGAGGAGGGAGCTAAGGAGACCGCTTTCCAGCCCAGCCCAGGCTGGGCTCAGGATGGGGGGGCCACCCGGGGAGCATGCAATAAATATGATCCGGGGCCCCAGGGAAGGGTAGGGGACACCGTGGGAGTGGGAGATGAGGCAAGCCAGGGCTGCCTTGGCCCTGGCTCCATAACTCCTCACCTTGGTGGTTGGAGAGGAAAGGGTTGGCCCTGGGGCTAGTGCCACTTGTGCAAAATGAGGAACTTCACATTATCAGTCCCGGGCGGGCAGGAGCAGAAGGCGGGGACCCTCCGGCTGGCTCAGTCCCCTCCCCTCTCCACAACTCTGCCCGATACTCCGACCCCAGCGGGGAGATTCACAGTGAGAATGGGTGTGGTCGCAAGGGCCGGAGGTAGGGCTGGGAGCGCCCCAACAGTGACACCCCTCCCCCAAAGAGCAGCATGGAGCCGGGGGAGGGGGCCAAAGAACCACAGGAAGAGGCAGGGAGAGGCCGGGGTCTCCTTTGGTCAAAGCTGATATCAAAAATATAAATCTCCCTTCCCCCATCCCACCCCATCCAGGGGTTTTCCCCCATCCCCACCCCCAGCTAAGGCACAAAGCAGTGAGGCCAGGTGAGGCCGCAAAGAGGTGGGGCCGCCACTGAGGCGACGCCGTTGCTACTAGTTGTCCCAGGCACGGTGTGCCGCGCTTCTCCTTAGGGGTACGGGCCGGGCCGAGAAGCAACGGCAAGGCGAAGGCGGGCCAGCAAGGGGCGCGCTAGGTCGGGGAGAAACGGTCGATGGTCCTGCCGTCGGGTCCAGCAGCCAGGTGAGCGCCCTGGCTCAGCACCTCCGCCGCCTTGTCGGGACTAAGGCCCAGCTCCGCGGTGAATTTGGCCAGCGGGTAGAGGCTCTCGAGCGCCACCTTGGGGTCGTGCAGGAAGTGCGTGGTCTGCGCCAGCAGCTCGGCCGCAGCTGCCTTGTCCTGCTGCTTCAAGCTCAGCTGCTCAGCCGTGAGGCGAGCCACAGCAAAGACGCCTTCTGGGAAGTCGAGTTTGCCCTTGCCGTCGGGGCCAGGGACGCCTGGTATCCCCCCTAGGCCTGCAAGCGCGCCGGCAGCGCCGGCCGCACCACCAACAGCGTGCATCTTCATATGACTGATGAGGTTGCGTTGCTGTGCGAACTTGCCACCGCACACCTGGCACTCATAGGGCTTCTCGCCGGAGTGGATGCGCATGTGCTCTGTGAGGCGGTACTGGCGTGTGAAGCGCATGCCGCACGCGTCGCATGCAAAGGGCTTGAGGCCCAGGTGGCTGCGCATGTGGCGCGTCATGGTCCCCCGCTGGGTGAACTTCTTCCCACAGATGGTGCATGGATAGGGCCGGGTCAGCCAGTGCGTCTTCTCGTGCTGCCGCAAAGTGGCTGGATCCTTGTAGCTCTTGTCGCAGGACGCGCATCTGTACGGCCGCAGCAGCTCTCCCAGGCCACCTGGAGCCCCAGCGACCTTGTCCCCACCGCTGCCAAAAGGGGGCCCTAAGCCGGCTGCCCCAGCAGCCACCTCAGCAGCCTCAGCCCGGCCATACAGCGCCTCCTCCTCCTCCACGTGAGCTTCCACGTGCGCATTCAGCTGCTCAGAGCTGGGGAAGCCCTTGCCGCAAGGGATGCACACGTACAGGTTGTCACCAAAGCTTTCTGGCTCTCCATAAGCCAGGTGCGGGCATGGGTAGCCTTCGAGGTGGCCTCCAGGTGGGCTGGGATCCTCGCTGCTGCCAGTCTCCTCGCTGCTGCTCTTGTAGTCATCGCCGTCACCACCTGCGCCGGGCCCGTCCAGGCTGCCCGGGTAGCGCGGCGGCGGCACCAGGCCGAGCGGGGGGCCCCCGGGCGAGGCTGCCACGTCCCCGCCGCGCTCCTCGCAGCGCTCGCCTGGAGAACCGCGCTCCCTGCCCAGCTCGTCGCCGTAGCTACCCAGGCCCGGCTCGTGCTTCATCCAGCGGTAGAGGAGGCTGGGCCCGTCGGGGCGGCCGGGGTGCTCGGGTCCGGGGCTGCCACCGCTCCCACGGAACGGGTCCGGAGGCGGTATGGCCTCTTCCAGCTTCTGGAAGGGCAGCGGCGGCAGCGGCGGCAGCGGCGGCAGGGTGAGTGGTGGCTCCTTGTAGGTAGCGGGGCCGGCGCTAGGAGGGCTGTCCGGACGCGGAGGCAGCTCACGTTCACTCAGTGGTCGCTCAGAAGCCGCAGAGCCCGGTGGGCTCTTCTTGGACAGATCCAGGCCGCAGAGCGGGGAACAGCGGCGCTCTGGGATACAAAGTGCGGTGGCTGGGCCCGGGCCCGAAGCGTACAGCTCCGCGCAGTGAGTGTTGACCGCTGCCTCGGGGCCCGACGGCGGCTCAGAGGAAGGCGGCGGCGGAGGCCCGGCCGGGGACGAGTAGCAGGCTTGGATGACCGGCGTGGCCGCCCTCAGGCCCCGGCCCGGCCTCCCGTAGGGCGCATAGCCGCCGCCGCCACTGCCGCCTCCCCGCAGGTGGCAGTACTTGCCGTGGCGCTTGAGGCGCTTCTTACACAGCGCCACGAGGTCAGGGATTTGTAGGTAGCTGGCGGCAGCCAGCACAGCGCCCAGGCTCGGCTCGGCCCCCGGGGCCACGGCCGCTGCAGCCGCAGCCTCTGCACCGTCAGCCAGGCGACCGGTGTAAATGAAGTCCAGAACCAGGCGAAATACTGCCGGGCTCACCATGTCATGGTCCAGGTTTAGCAGGTTGTCATGCACCACCAGGGACTTGAGGTAGGCGCTGCTGGCCGCCAGCACGTTCTTGTGCGCGCGGAAGAGGGCGTTCTGCACCACGATGATCACGTCGCACAAGAAGCCCTTGGTGCGCTGGTTGTTGAGCTGCAGCAACAGCTGCCTCGAGTGGCCGGGCGCCTCCATCGTGTCCAGCATCGTCTGCCCAGCACACTCTCCTGCGGGGACACACACCAGCTGGGTAAGAGCCGCGCAGCGCCCTCGCCTCCTGTACCCAGACCGGCACTCCTCCCCTCCACTTCCCCTTCCCTTCAGCTGAGCAGGGGCATCGAGCACCGCGGCCTGGGCACTGGTGGAGGAGGTTCAGCGGCCTCCTGGAATGGAAGCCTAGGCCGGCGGGCCCGAAGCAGAGTAACGAGCAGGAGGAGAACGCCTGCGGATGGAGAAGAGGCCAGGCTGGCCTGTGCGCCCCAGGCCCAGACGCTGCTGGGCACACGGGTTAGGTGCTGGGGACTTCCAAGGAGAAAACTGTTCAGGCGAAGTGACCCTTTCCGGAGACAGTTACCCGATTTAAGTAAAATGTCCGCTTCAGGAAAAGTCATTCAGGGCCGAGAAGTTTGCCCAAGTGGGGATAAAGGGAGCCGAATAGGAAACACCTCCCGCCTCGGGAGAAGTTGCCCCAGTTGGAAGAGGTGATACGGAGAACTCGAGCGCGGTGCCCACCGGCGCCGCCCTGATCAGGGGCTGTCAGGCCCTTGTTTGGGGCCGGGGCAGCGGCGCGGGGAGCGGAGGCAGCGGCTGCCGTGGCGGGCAGAGCGCGAAGGCCGGGCCCCGGCGCGGGGAGGGCGTTATATCGGGGCAGGAGGCTGAGGCAGGAAGCAGGTGGGGGGGAGGGGGGAGCCACGCAGCTCCCAGGGGAGGGAGGGGGCAGCGCCCCGGGCGGGCACGGCGAGCAGCCGGCTGCTGCCCTGACCTCGGCCTGCGCCCCACCCGCGTTCCGGCCCCGGCCTCGGCCTCAGCTGTACATTAGCGGACCCGGCGCCTTCCTCCCCAGCTCCCCTCGGCCCCTTCTTCCCCGGAACTCGGCCGTCCCAAACTTGGGGAAAAGTTTCCCAACTTCAGACAGGGCGGGAGGAGCGCGCCAGCCCCAGTCTCTCCGCTCCCAGCCTTGCCTCACGGCCCCCAACTCCAGCTGCCAGGCGGCTGCGGGGCCTGAACCAAGCCCTGAGTTCCCCTGCCCTCCAGCCCGCCCGCCCAACCCCATTCCCCGCCTGGCCCGCAGGGCCTCGCAGTCCGTTACCTGCAGCCACAGCCCGGCTGGTCTTTCCTCCCCGCGGTGGTGGCAGCTCCTAGCCTGCGCCCCACCCGCCCCGCTGCCAGGCGCCGAGCTGTGCCAGGGCAGCGCCCCTGCCAGCCCCGCCCGCCAGCTCCCCTTCCCTTCGCCTTGCCTCTTCAGCCCATGTGCGGGCAGAGCCGGCCTCGGGCCGCTGACCCCGCGGTGAACCCGGCGCGGAGCAGCGGCCCAGCGGTCCTGAGCCCTCTGAGGGAGACACTCGGAGCCTAGAACGCCAGCCGGCAATCGCGATGGGGCGCCCGCGCCAGAGGATGCGCCTGAGGCGGCCAGCGCGCGAGGACCGGGCTGTCCCGGGTCCCTTGTCCCTCCCGGTCCCCAGCGCCAGGACCCACCTGGGGGGCATGTCGGAAGCCCCGGGCCCGGCTGCCGGCGGATCCAGGGGGGACGTGGCTGCGCTGTGCTGCCCTCCGCCCGCCGGGCCCCCGGTCGGTCTGTCCTGCTGGTCCGTCCTCCCCGCGTCCTGGTCGCGTCTCAGCCCCGCCGCGCTTTCCGCACACTCTTATCTGGAGCGGTCGGGGCCGGCAGGCGCTGCTGCGGCTATGGCGCCACCTCGCGGCAGTGTGGGACTCTGCGCTGCACCACAGAAACCTCTCTGGCGCACCTGGGCTGGAGACTCGCAGATGCCCAGCTGGGCAGGAGACCTATGTGCAGGTTCATTCTTCCAGATGTGTCCACCTGGACTCCAAGTCCCGAATGCAAGTCCATAAACCTTTGGATTTTGAGCTAAGCCCTTCTGCGTACATTTTTCTAAGAACATAGCTTCAATTAGGAAGTCTTGCCCTCAAGGAGGAATTCTGATAACAATAGATGGTGACAGTAGGTAACGAGATGGAGATTATGGAAATCCTAAGCGAGACAAAGGTAGCTGATCTCGGGGGACTCCCCTTAGACATTCCTGGAGGCGACCGTCCCCTTGGACCTACTCTCCAACACGCCCACCCTCGTTCTGTCATATGTTAGGTATGCACAGCATAAACCCATTTGCCCCCAGACCCTACCAGGTAGTGACACTCGCTGGCACACATGTTTACACAAACACCCACGCCCGCTCCTGGAGTCCCAGCTGTCTGTGATACTCCAAGGGCTGCCTGGTGGAACTCCCGTGAATCTGGGCAGAGGTGTTCCCATAATAGCCTACCCTGAAGTTGAGGGTCTCTGGAGAAACTCCAGGATAATTGATTGGAAGTGGCTGGACAGTGCCCAGCGCCCAGATTCCCTCTGTAAGGCATTCTGAAGAACCCCCAAGTGACTGGCTTTTCTCCAACCGGAGAGAAACAAGACAAGCTTGGAACCTCCTTAGATGGTCCATCAATCTGATATGCGCGAGCGACGCCTCTTCTGGAGGGAACCCTGTATTGACTCTCTGGCGCTCCACAACTATTCCGGAAGTGTCCCAGCGCAGCTGGGCGAACACGCCAGAACTGTTGCAAATACCGCATCTCGACGGCCCACGCTCCGCCTCCTCCCCCCGCATCTCCTGACCCCCGCCCACACACTGGGAGGGGTCCCCGAGAACGCCCACAGCTTCTGATTGGCTGCGCCTCTTCAGTGGCCTAGAGCGGGAGGCTGGGGCGCAGTGTTACCATGGTAACTGATGAGGTTCGCCCAGATCGCGGCTCTCGGAGGCCTTGGAGAGCTTAGCAACCGCACCCCGCCTCTGGCTGGCGGGAACCGCGCTAGCAGCCCTCCGCGCTGTTCTCCAGCCCCCACGCCCCCGCCAGAGGTAGTGGCTGAGTCACTCGGCGAGGGGCTGCTGGTGCGGCCACTAGCTGTTCCTTTCAGACACCAAGGACTTGGGCGCCCCCCAGAGGCTCTGTTTACTCCGATAGCTGCTTCAGAGCTTTGGTGCCTGGAGGCAGCTTCTGGTCCAAACAGGTCCACCTGACTCCCGCCGCCTCTTGAGTCAGTCCCTCACTCGCTTCCGAAGCAAGCTCTGAATCTGCCCTATCCATTGCCACGCCTCTATCTCCTCATGGCGTTTTCATCAAAAAAAGTACTGAAGTTCCAAAGATGAAAATGGTTGACTGCAATGTTTCTGGCCTCTAGGGAAGAGGACCCCAACAACCAACATCTCTGCCAAGAGACGTGATGGGGGCTGAATTGGAAGTACATACGGAGTGTTGAAGAGCAGTAAGAAGGTTCTTAAGAAGTGCTCTTGGGGTCTGGGGATGTGGCTCAAACGGTAATGCTCTCGCCTGGCATTCGCCATTCGCGGGGCGTTGGGTTCGATCCTCAGCACCACATAAAATAAAATAAAGATGTTGTGTCCACCGAAAACTAAAAAATAAATATTTTTAAAATCTCTCTCTCTCTCTCTCTCTTTAAAAAAATTGCTCTTGAAGCTGGGTTTTGACAGATTAATAGGAGTTCTCCTTTTGGGTAGGAAGGCTGATAACTGGGACAAAAGCCCCCTTCTCCCTTAAAAAAAAAAAATACATTTTGGAAGCCAAATCCCAAGGGACAAGAAGGGCCTCTCTGACCTCGTCTCTTTAATCCCTTTGAAGGGCAAAGAGCCCTTCAGCCCCGTGCCGCCTTCTGTGCAGCATTATCTAACCCCTGCTGACCCAATCCAGGATCTGCTGCCCCCATGATCTTTTTTGTTTGTTTGTTCAGCACTTGCCCTAGTCCATTCCCCAATTAAGTCACTGCCCCAGCCCTACCTTGGAGTCCTCCTTACTTCTGAATGGGAAGGGTCTCGCAGCCCTGCCTCCAACCCAGTGGCAACATCAGGGTCCCGAGGATCTCCTGTAGACTTCATCCTTCAATCTTTACCTTTCCCTGCTTCAGTTCCACCAGCCAGCCTGGCGCTGCTTCTTCCCCACACTTCCCCACACCATTCTCCCAAAAAGTGGGGAGAAGCTTTCCTTGTCCAGTCCAAGTTTGTCCAGCTGTCCAGCTTCTCCTCCCCACTTAAAGCCTGGAGACAGAGCTGGGCTGGGCCAGGACTATTCATTTTCCCACTGATGTTTAGGGGCATAGGTTCTTGCCAAACTCTAAACCCTCGAGAAACCGAATTCCTCTAAAAAGTGGTCCTGGCCACCCCTGGAGACCCCTCCCTGCCAAGCTGCTGAGTCCTTGGTCTCCTGTACCCTCATTTGAGCCCTGCCAGTGTCCCATTATTCCACAAATGAATGCTGAGGTGACACATGGGTGACAAAGCTTGGCACTGCCAATCTTGCCCTCCCTTTTACTTGCCAGAAACTCCTGATACCTTCCCTAACTCCCAAGAGGACATTTTGCTCGTTACTGAGAAGCCCAGGTCACCCTCAACTTTTTGCCTTTCCTCTGGTCTCCAGCTCCTCACTAGTAACTGGATCCCCATTGGGTCTTATTTCTCTGGCCTGGTCTCCTACACCAAAGCCTTCCAAAGATTCCTGGGCTCTCCTACCTTCTTCCCTTCCTCCCGGTACCCCTATGGCATGCCACAGTACTTGCTGTGCCCTAGACCCTTCATCGGGCCCAGCTTCTTTCCCTATACAACCCGGGGGGGGGGGGGAAAGGATGATGACACCACAGTGGCCATGCGGGGTGTGACACGTCCCTGGGCATCCTGTGACATCAGAGCTCTTGGGTCCAGTAACTGAAAACTGGGGTTGGGGCTACCATATGAGGACCCCAAGGCTGGGCGGGGCAATGGACTGAGTCCGCAGGAGTCCCAGAGCTCCGGAAGGGGAGAGTGAATAAACATGTAACAGGCCCGCAGCACCCCCCCTGCACTATCCTCCCCCGGGGCCCCCCAGCCAGCAGTTCCGGAAAGTTAACCCTTTGTAGGCCAGGACAGGGGGCGCCGGCTCCTCCTACCCGATCCTGCTTCCGCGCACCCTCCTCCCCCTTCCAGATCCCTGTCGCTTCGGTCCCCACCCCCACCCCCCCACCTCCCCGCCTCGCCACTATAAATAGCCCCTTTTCCCATTTCCTAAATTCCCTGCTGACGTCGGCAGCGCGTCAGTGTGTAGGAGCCGCGGCCGCATGAATGAGCCGCCGCAAGAGTACTACGCGCGCCTATAAAAGCTGCCGCGCCAGCCCGGCTGCGGGAGGCGAGCGGGCGCTGGCGCGATGCGGCCCGCCAGGTAAGCGGGATCGACCAACCAACGGGCCACTGATGGACCGTTGCGCGGACACTGATGGGAGGGCAAGGAGGAGACCCGCGGGCGGCGGGTTGGAGGGTTTCTCCGGAGTGGGGATTGGGACAGGGTGGGAGGGACGAGGTTCCTTCACAGCTGATGGAGCCGGGACCAGAGGGCTGACACAACGTCGCTCAGCACCTGCCGGAGCCCAGATAGAGACGCGACCACTTTGGAGGAGCATCGAACAGAGGACAGACCCCAGAGTCGCCGAAGCATTCTGTGGGGTTCCTACGCCATACTCCCAAGAAAGTGGGGAGAAGGTGCTGGTACCACAGGAGGCGCGCCCCCTCATTTTCTCCCCTCGGGGCAGCGCGGTGACTCAGCCTCGCGGTCCCAGACCAGCTGAACGGGGACGCCAGCGAGAGACTGACTGTCACCTGCCCGCTGTCTTGGCTGCGGGTCTCTTGGGACCCCCACGCCGCCCCACTCCGCATTCTGCCCCGCTGCCCCCTCCCAGTCTGGTCTGGTCGCGTCTGGCTGGTCCCGCTGCGCCCAAGACTTCCCGCCTCTGCAAGCGGAGCTGTCCTCTCAGGACCAGGCGGGGGCGGGGCCGGGGCAAAACCGCCCCGCCCCACCCAGCGACCCCCCCCGTCACCGGAAGTGCCTCCCCACTGGGACATCTTTGACGTCACAGAATCCTGACGTCAGGAGTCGCGTGCCTGTCCGCGAGTGTAGGGGCCAAGAAGGGTGGGAGACATGGGGGAGGAGGAGCAGCAGCGACCCCAGCCGTGGGCGACTGGGCCACCCTTGCCCGGGCAGTGCGCCGGCACCTTGGCTCTAGACTGCTTACTGCCCGGGCCGCCCTCAGTAACAGTCTCCAGTCACGGCCACCGACGCCTGGCCCCGCCCCAGGACCGCGGAACCGGCCGCCTGCCCACCGCGCCCCAGGACCCCTCAGTCCTTGGGGGTTCCGCAGCCCACGCTCGCAGCCCGCGCCGTCGCTGTCCGTGGTGCTGATCCAGCGCAGGCGCCAGAATCTAGCTGTCCAATTTGGTGTCTGCAGGGGCTGAGAGGGGCAGCGGGCCCACAAGCACCCTCGCACAGCCCCCGCGCCAGCCGCCGGCCCGCGCGCCATCCCACGCCCGCACCCACGCCACTGCCCACCCCGCGTCCCCGCAGTGCTGACGTCAGCCAGTCCGAAGCCGCCGTGGTGCCGTCAACGGTGCGCGCCCCGCCCCCGCGTCTCCAGGGCAACCGTGGCTTTCGATTGTTACTGTGGGAACCGGAGGTAACAGTCTACAGCCATGGTCGCCCCGCAGCACGCCCACGCGCCGCACCACAGTGTCCTGCCAGCCAGGGTTCGGGGAGACGCTGAGCAGGAAGAGGCGGGGGCGACGAGCCAAGATTGGTTGTGTCCACTGGTGTAGCAGGAGGTGTGCGCAGGGAGGCGTACTCAGGGAGGCAAAGGCCGGCCCTGGTGGGGGCGGGGGTGTCAACTGCATATTCACCGGGGCAGAGTGGGAAGCACCATTCGCGGAGAATGTCTGAAAGTCCGCCTCAGTGTTCTGTCCTCCTAGTGGAGGTATCGCTGCAGAGGGACGGCAAGAGAAGGGGGTAGTTCCAGGATATGGATTCTTTTCTCCTTAGTGGGAGGGAGGCTGCTGGGACCTGAAGGCACAGAAGAATGCTGTTTGCTTGCCGGGACTTAGTGGGTAGACAGTGAAAGTTTTCTTAAATACGCCACACCTTTCTTCCAGGAACTCCTAGTTGAACAGGCAGAGGGCAAAGAATAAAACTTTGAGCGGGTGTGGTGGCTCATGCCTGTAATACCAGCGACTTAGGAAGATGAAGCAGGAGGATCACTAGTGCAAGGTTGGCCTCACCAAGTTAGCAGCCCCTCGGCAACTTGGAGACCCTGTCTAAAACTAAAAAGAAAAAAATAGAAAAGCAGCTGCTGGAGTGCAGCTCAGTGCCCCTGGGATCCCTGGGCTCAATTCCTGGAATAGAAAGAAAGAAAAGGGAGGGAGGGAGAGAGGGAGGCAAGGAAAGAAACCATTGAATCCATTTCCTAATGGAACCACAACCTCTGCTCACTCCCTTCCCCAACTTTTTCAGGAGCCACAGGGGCTATTAAAGTGAAGGGACCTGGACTGGGTGTTGTGGCTCAGTGGTGGAGCGCTGACCTAGCACATGCGAAGCACTGGGTTCAATCCTTAGCACTACATAAAAAATAAATGGGTGAAGTAAAGGTATTGTGTCCATCTACAACTAAACACACACACACACACACACACACACACACACACACACACGGAGGGAGACCTGGTTTCTAAAAGCATTGTCTGAACTATCAGCATTCTCAATTCAGGCTATCTCTAGGCACTGAATTCCAATTTCAGAGGTTCTCAAATTCACCAAAAAGAATTGTATCACAGGAAGAAGTTCTATTGTGCCAGTGAAGTGTGAACAGTGACTTTCTCACAAACATTACTGTGTGTGTGTCACCTGTCACTGCCAGTATCACCCACTGCAGAGGCTGGCTGAGGTGCAGGACTTCACTAAGGATGATGTTAGGAATATTAATGCAACCCAACTCCACCACCTAATAACCTAATTTTTCTTCACCTCTCCACATACTTCATCCTTTCCTAAATTATTTCTAAGACAGCTGGTGCTTGCTTCCCTGATAACCAACACCCTACTGAACCCTGAGGTCCCAGATTAAAAGGCATTTGATTCCAGTGAACATCTGGGGGCAAACAGAAGTTTGTGCACACAGGAGTAGTGCATCTGGAAGGTCCAACACAGCTTCAAGTGGTTAAGTGACCATGTTCTACTTCTGACCCTTCTGTAAAGTGGAACAATAATCCCTCTTGGAGGTGTATTTTAAGGATCAAACAGAAATAGAAAAAATGTTTTTGTTTTAATACTGGGGATTGAACCCCATGGCACTCTACCACTCAGCTACATCTTCTGCCCTTTTTTCTTTTAGTTATTTTTTTTAGTGTAGTTGGATGCAATACCTTCATTTTTAAAAATTTTTTTTTAATATTTACTTTTAACATCTTTGTTTGTATGTGGTGCTGAGGATCGAACCCGGGCCAAACGCCTGCCAGGCGAGCGCACTACCGCTTGAACCACATGCCCAGCCCCAATACCTTTATTTTATTTATTTATTTTTATGTGGTGCTGAGGATCAAACCCAAGGCCTACGCATGCTAGGCGAGTGCTCCACCGCTAAGCCACAACCCCAGCCCTTTCTATCCTTTTAAAACAGGGTTTACAAAGTTGCCCATGCTGACCTTGAACTTATGATCCTCCTGCCTCAGGCCCCAGAGTAACCAGGATGCAGGTGTGTCACTGTGCCTGGCTTTTATTTTTTAGGGTGCTAAAGCTAGAATGCAGGGCCTTGTAAATGCTAAGCTGAGCTATACCTTCCACCCTGGAATTGAGAAATCTTTGCAAACCGCAGAATACCATTTCAGTTTTAAGCATTTTTATTAGGCTATTACATGTTTATAAGGGGGTGGTGTTGGGAGGAGACATCAGCTCTGGTTAATTAGGCAGAACCTTCCTGTGCAAATGTTCTGGGACTGGGGCTATTGAGGGGCTCTCCATAGCTTTGGGAATCCAAGGTATAGTCAGAGGTAGAAAAGATAGATGTCCTGGTTTAAATCCCCAGTACCATACAAAAGAAGGAAGGAAAATAAATGGTAGGGATATTCTGAACTAAGGCCAAGTCTTTCATAGTTAAACTCATCTGAAAGATATGACCAGAGAGGAAAAACCAGAGGACTGATTGTGGAAAGATAGAGTTGTTTGGTATCTTACAAATCATTTAGTGTGTCTCCCAACATATTTTATGGATTGAGAAGCTGAGGCCCACAACAGGACTTAGTACTGAGGGGTGGCCTCTCTGCTCATCTTCTGCAGTACAGCAGAGAAAACAATGACTAAAGCCATGTGCAGTGGTATGTGCCTGTAGTGCCACTACAGGCCTAGCAAAGGAGGCTGAGACAGGAAGATCACTTGGGTCCAGGAGTCAGGAGGTCAGCCTGGCAACAGAGTGAGGCCCTATTTCAAAAAAATACACCTAGTGGCTTGGGAGGCCGAGGCAAGAGGACTGCAAGTTCAAAGCCAGTCTCAGCAACTCAGCAAGGCCCTAAGAATTTAGGGAGAACCTGTTTAAAATTAAAAATAAAAAGAGGTGGGGAGTGGTTCAGTGGTTAAGTGCCCCTGAGTTCAATCCCTGGTACCAAAAAAAAAAAAAAAAATCAACAACAAAAAAATAATGGACAAGAATGTTTGAATTTTTAGAACAGAATGCAGCCTTGGGTGAGTACTTAGCTTCTCTGTGCCTTTCTCCTCAATTACAAAATTAATTTAACAATAGTACTTACCTGGTGAAGTCATGAGATTAAATTAGGCAACAAAGGAGGGCTGAGAGTCTAACTCAGTGATAGAGCTCAGGATCCTAATGTACAAGGCTAGCACCAAAAATAAATGAATAAAGTAGGCAACATTAAAGTTTCTGCTTGGTGTCTGGCATAGTTAGTACTCAATAAATGTTATGCTTATTTTTATCCTGTGGACCTCATCTGCCTTAGGTATAAATTGAAAATGTATATCACTGATTCTTCTGGGGAATTTGCTTCCTGTTTTCCCCCATGAGTTGCATGAGAACATTAGGGACCTTTTTCTAATGCCCATACTTAGCAGACTTTTACTCTACCCGCTAAAGCAGGGTTTTCAAATGATACCTCCATGGAATGTCCAGGCATAGTTTGTCAAGATGAAGATTCCAGGGTCCCAGGGATTCTGAAAGTAGGTTCAAAGTTGGCCCCAGGAATTCCAAGTTTTAACAGATGCTTGACACAAAGTCTATAGATTCTGTGCAATGGGTGGAGGAACCCCTTAAAATTCTCATTTCCAGAGAAGATAAAAGCTAACATATCCCATTTGTTAGTGGACCACAGGATATCTACTAACTTGGACATTCTATGATTCTCAAGAGGAATTCAGTCTCTTTACCCCCAGCATAAGCACTGCCATCCACATAATTCTGCTCTGTCCTACCTTTCTCCTCCTCTTCTAACTATAAACCCTGGCTTAAAATTCATTCCTATATCCTTTAAATCTCTTGATAATCCCAAGTAGCAGCAGCTGAGGTATGCAAGTCATGATTTTCACCTCTTGGGACCTAGCTAAAAGGGGCATCCTATGATTGCCAGAAGAGTATGAGTCCTAGCTGCAGATTCATCAATTATTTACAGAAAAGCCAGGAATCATAATGGGCCAGATCAAACAGGTAATTCAGTCTGTTTCAGTGTCTTCCTTTTGCCAAGGGAGCAATCCCTTTAAAATAAGAACAAGGCAGAAAGGCCAACTCCCCACTTCTCCCAAGATGTGCACACTTCCTGTTGTAAAGGTTCTAAATCCATTAAACTGGATCTCTGGGACAGGTTAAGTTTTTATTGTTGTTTTGGTACTGGGGATTCTACCACTAAGTTATATCTCTAGCACCTTTTTATTTTAAGACAGTCTGGCCTCAGCCTTCCAAGTCACTGGCATTACAGGAGTGTACCACCACACCTGACTAGGTAATTTATTTTTATCTTGGACAGTTTTTGGCTGTCCTGAGGAACCTAGAACTTTGAGTATAATTTATTTTTATCTTGGACAGTTTTTGGCTGTCCTGAGGAACCTAGAACTTTTGAGTATCTTAAGGGATGTTAGTATAATTGTCAGAAGGATAAAGTAGAATACCTGTGTTGTATCCACTATCCTTAATCCCTGTTCAACTATTAAACTCCCTGGGAGACACTGTGGCTGAGGATAGGACCTGTTAAGAAGTTCTACAAAAAGAACTGACTTGTCTTGTAACGGGAGACATCATGAAGCAGAAGGGAGAAGGTAGGTAGGGTACTGGAAATGGGAAGAAAATGGCTAGAGTGGGCAATCCAAAAGGCTAGAGTGGGGACTCCCAAGAGCAAACCAGTTGGGATACTTCTGCCTTGGCTGTAGTCACAACATAAATTATAATTAGCATCATCAATTATCAATAGCATCAATCTCAGGAACCTACAGATGGGTTCATCTTAGGAAGAGGAAGTTTATTCTGTGCTGTCTGGCCTATGCCCAAGGTCTGGTACCATACCTGTCTTCAAGCTCACAGTTCAGAAGGGCTAGGGCAGTTATGGAAGAGATGGCAGAAAACATAGCTAGGGACTGAGGGAAGACCAACAATTTTTAGGAATCAGGATGGAGGTTATCAGGATCTCTTCCAAAATTTCTCAGATGTAAGTTCTTCTAATTCACTCACCAATGCCTCCTTTCCTTCAGTTTGGGACTGAAGACTTCCACCAAAAACATGACTGTACATGTGCCCCAGCCTGTCTTAGGGCTCATGACAGGAAGTACTACCGTCCTTGGTTCTGCTGGGGAGGTTGTGTGGATGGCTAAACTTCAATTGTAAAAAAAAAGATGCTTAAAATCCAAACCACTGCTTTATTGTGTGGCACTCAACAGTGGTGCCCACCCTGCTTTTCCCAAGTTATCCTCTCATCCAGGGCTTTCTGGCCTTTTGAATATCAAAATCCAGTATGGTGTCTTGTTCCCCTTTCTCCAGTGCAGGGGAGGGTTCATACAGAGTCCTGAGAACTGACAGTTCTTTCTTTAAGTGGTCATGGTGAAGAGTATGTTAGCACAGTGGAGGTCCCAGGGTGGGAGAAATAATGGGGAGAGCATAGGTTACAGAGGCTGCCCCAAGAGCGGGTGGAAAATGTAAAGGCAGAAGCATTTATTGAGCTTTCACCCTGCAAACTGGTCCAAGAATTTAAGGTAGGCCTGGCGCTGGGATGCAGCTGCTGGAATGAAGTGGCCACCAGAGTGAGTGAGGGTGATGGCTCCAGGGAACTGGTTAGCCAGCTGTACACTCTCCTGAGAGGGGATGACACGATCAGTGTCCCCGAAAACATGAAGTGAAGGCATTGACAAATTGCTCTGCAGGATGGGTTCCTTGAGGCCATGGCCCCTGGGACAGAAACCAGATACGAGGATGATAAATCGAGGCAAAGGGAAGTGCAGGTCGCCCGCTTGGCCCAGGGCACACACAAGGGCTGCTAGTGCAGCCCCCTGGCTGAACCCAAGAAGTCCATCAAAAGGCCCCAGCTTGCTCAGTGCCTGTGCCACCGTTTCCAGAGATTCCTCCAGACCTCTGCACACCGTGGGCTCTTCCAGTGCGGAGAAAACGTCTGCCTCCTCTTTGGAAAACCACCAGCCTCGAGGCTGCTCCTCAGGAGGGCAGGAACCTATGGGCATAAGGCGGAAGAGAATGGAATTAGGGCAACGGGGAGGGGAGTGAGGAAGGAAGGGAGGGTATGGAAATAAATAACAGGGAAAGAGGTGATTAAGGAGAGAGCGACGGTGGAGACCGAAGGAAGAGGAGGGAACAGGGAAGGGGCATACGGAAAGGGGTTAAGGGGACCAGGCAAAAAGACCCTGTGAGGGCATTTCCAGAGCTGAGCTCGGCTCACCGGAGTCTGGCCCCCCGCCCTCGGGGCCCTCCGCCGAGGTGACCGGGTGCGGGCCGCTGAGGCACACGAGCTCGGCGCGGCCCCGGAGCGCCTTCCTCAGCGCTCCAGTCTTCTCTCGAAAGCCCCGCTCGCTCTGCCGGAAGCCCGCCAAGCACAAGACCCGTAAAGGTTGCCCACTGGCCATGCTGCCCGGCAGTGGGCCATAGGAACACCGGAAGTAAGTTTTCCCCGAGCGGAAGTAGAATACGCGAGGGGGCGGAACCAAATGGCTACACCACCCTGAAGGCGGGTCTCGGAGAGAGCGGCTCCCATGACAACAGAGATGAGTGGGGCGCGGCCAAAGTAGGGCGGATACCTGGGAACCAGGGGCGTCTCAAGGAGACGCCACCCCGTCTCTGCAGCTGCACCCCTCGCAATCCGCGGCTGGAGAGGGGAGTGTGGACACCTCCTGCACCTAAGGTTGCAGACTTAGATCAGAGTCTCGCTTCCACCACAACCTCCACCCCGCGCCGGTGCATTTCCCATCGTGGCCACATGGCGGCGGCCTCGGCTCACGGTACCAGGAAGGGGGCCAGAGCCAAGGCCGCGCCCAAAGGCTCCACTCTTCCCTCCTTGAAGTCCTGGCCTACCTTCCCGGAAGCTGAGCGGCTGGGGCCTTGGGAGTTTAGGTCTGGCCGGTGATTCACCGTCCAAAGCCCCAAGGAGTTGCCAGCGTAGAAGTCCATGGGGTAGGGCTGCTGCCAGGAAATGTTCCTGAGGGCCACGGCTGCCTAGTGGAGGAAAACCGGACAATAACATTTGCTGATATTTTTCTGCTCCTGGATCATTAAATCACTCCTCACGACAGCATAGGAAGGGTGTATTATTCCCATACTGTAGAAAGGAAATGTGAGGCTCAGAGTGGTTAAGGAACATGTCTAAGGTCACACAACAAAGACTGCTAAGCAATTCAAGAGTGTCTGATGGGCCAGTGGTAAAGCACTTGCCCAGCATGCATGAGGCACTGGGTTCGATTCCCGGCACCACATAAAAATAAAAACAAATAAAATAAAGGTATTATGTCCATCTACAACCAAGAAAAATAGCTTAAAAAAAGAGTGCCTGTCTTCAGAACCTATGAACTATTGCTGTCCATCCACCCCAATCCAACTTTGAGCCCTCCCTTGACTGAAGAAGGTACAAAGTTTTCAAACACAAGTTTTTCTCCCACAAGTTTTCAAAACCTGGTGTTACCTCATAGGGTGTAAGCAGTGGTTTAGAGAAGGCTGTACCCCAGTCAATGGAGAGGCGTGGACACGCCACCTGCACCCACCTGGGAAGGGAAGCCAAGTCACACTGAGAGGGGAAGCATGCTGAAGAACATGATTGTCCCCAATATACCCAACAGTCAATAGGGTTTATTAATCCTAATGTAAAGATTCACCTACCACTATTTAGATGCTGGATACTGTTGCTTATTTTCTCCTATTTCCTCCATTGACTATAAACTTTCTGAGGGAAACTCATTTGTAATAGTATTCTAAGGTTGGCCCCGAGGAGGGCCAGGTAGGTAAGGTGGGGAAACTTACACATCTACCTCAGGAAGTAGGTTGAGCTTGCTGGGGAATATCTCAGACAGCAGCAGCCTCACAAAAGGAAGTCCCAAGGCTTGGAGTTGAGATTCCAAGTACTGTTGGGAGAGGAAGGCTGAGTTGGGGTACTCATGATCAAGCAGTCAAAGCTGACTCCCTGGGCCTATAGATTTTCCCATATGGGTTTCCAGTCAGTCCCTCCTCAAGAGGCCACCCTAAGCCCTCTTACCTCCAAGATCTTAGGACTGCCTTGGCGGCCCAAAGTGCCCAGAATAAGGCCCCAAGATTTGGCGGAGCGGGCAGTGGCTATGGCTTCCTGCCGAGTGGTCTGCATGCGCTGGTGGTCGTAGTGCTCTCTGGATAGGACTTTGCTGTATGGGTCATACCTGTAAAAGAAGCTTGCCAGAATTACTGTGACAGCCACTCCCAGGATTCCTGCTATTTACATGGCTCCCAACTCAGGCCCCAGACAGAACAGGGATTGTCACTGGGACAATCAGTCCCATAGCTGGAGCACGCAAGAGATAGGGAGTATATTAGGATCTCAGTGTGAATCCTAGGCGGGCAAGAGCAGCCCTGGGTCTAATGCCAGATGAAGGACCCAAGTGCCTCAGACCCTTAGGACTGAGGCTGGTAAGTGGCTAAGGAATAAGGAAATTTTGGCCCCTTGAGGGCCTCAGGGACAAAGAACTTCACCCCTCAATAACTAGTCAGCCCAGCCCAGCACATACCGGTAAGCAGGGACATTGGGGTTGGCAATCATGACAGACTCCAGATGGAAGCGACCATCTCCAAGATACCTATGGGGTGGAAAAGGCTGTAAGTGTGGCATGGGGTAGTAGGAGAGGCACTCTGGCTTAGAAACACAGGCCTGAATTCTCAGCTAGCTGTTCATGCGGCTATATATAAACTAGACAAGTTGTCATTTTACCTCTTGGGGCCTTGGTTTTCTCTCATGTAAAATAAGAATCTTGATGTGGACAACTGTAAGACCATGGTATATAATGCAGAATCAAGAACTGCTCTACCCCAGCCTTCGGAGGAAGAGTAAAAAAGCAGCAGAGGACATGGCAAGGCTTCCCAGGCTCTAGACAACCTAATTTGGAAGCAGAGGGACACATTCTCCCTGACCAAGCTCAATACAGATGTGGAAAGTAGTGACCAGGGAGTCACATAGGCTATACATGAGATTCCAGAATATACACTGGCTACTCTGCCCAGACCGGCTCTTGGGTCCAGGTACTGAGTGGTGGTAACAGCTATTATTTCTTGGACTTGTGCTTTCTGTGCTCTAGGCCTGGACTAAGTGCCTGATGTGTATGAGCTCACTCAGTTCTATCAAATAATCCTCTAAGATAACTACAGTGTCCGTATTTAACAGAACATACAACTGAGGTTCAAGGATGTTAAGACACTTGCCCAAAGTTATACAGCTCGTAAGCGAGGTATAACCACAGGCTGTACCAAGCATGCCCTAGAAGATGTTGTCCAACAGTACCTTCCTAGGCCATGGAGATTCCCAGAGCATGGAAGAAAACAGGCCATGGCAGTGATTCTCTCCTTCTTGGAGACCATACCTCATTTTGGTAACTGGTTGACACTGAGAGTGTCCCTCCCTCAACCCACATCTTGAAGCCCCCAAGGGCATCTATCAGCTCAGAGTTATACAGGCCCAGGCACAAGAGTAATGCCCCTCAGTAAGCAGGACTGCCAGGTCTGAGCTGGGAAAGGCCTGGATGTGGACCTGTCTATGGATATGGGTGTCCTGTGTGCATGCAGCAGGCCTGTGGGACAAGCATCCAACGCAAGGGTGGGGCTGAGTCAGAAAGTACCCCTCCCTCCTTCTCCACCATTAGCTAGGAAACAGGGTTCCCCTCCCCAGTCCCAGCCGGGGAAGCTGTCGGCTCTGAGGCTGGCTGCATTCACACAACATTAAGCATTTCCATTACCTAAAATAATTAGGCAGCAGGAGACATGCTGCTCCTGCTTGTTAGCTGTCCGGATGCTAAATTAATGGGGCTGCAGCCTGGGTGTGCCCATCCATCTTCTCCAATTATATTGCCACCATTTCTAGCCCACCCTCCTCCTCCTATCAGACCCTCTGATTCTTGTCCCCCCTCAGGCATAGCCTTCAGCAGTGGAGAGGGACAGAAAACATGAAGGCTATAGCATCCCTATTTGGTCCTATCTTGCAGAGTGACCTTGGGCACACAGGTAAGGAGCTTTAGACCCAGTTTCCTTTTCCTATATGATGAACCTTCCTGGGTACAAGTCTTCATACACACACACACACACACACACACACATATATATATATATTAGATGAACATAATACCTTTGTTTATTTATTTATTTAGGTACCAGGGATTGAACTCAGGGGCACTTGATCACTGAGCCACATCCCCAGCCCTATTTTGTATTTTACTTAGAGACAGGGTCTCACTGAGTTGCTTAGCGCCTTGTCACTGCTGAGGCTGGCTTTGAACTCGAGATCCTCCTGTCTCAGCCTCCCCAGTCACTGGGATTATAGACGTGCCCCACCATGCCTGGCTATTTATTTTATGTGGTGCTGAGGATGGAAACCAGTGCCTCACACGTGCTAGGCAAGTGTTCCACCACTGAGTTACAACTCCAGCCCCACCTGGGTACACTTCTAATGTCTCTATGATGTGGCCCCCAGTTTTACTTACACAATGGCTTCCACTTCCTTTGGCAGTCGGGGAGATGTACAGCCCAAAATCTCTCCAGGAGACAGGGGTTTGCACTGTGGGACAGTCATACGATATTCAGCTTTCAATTCCTGGGCAGCTGACTGTAGGGATGAGAGAAGAAAGCAAGTGGCTAGGGAAGGAGCCAGGGCACCTGGCATGGAGATCCAGAAACAGCCTAGAGAGTGGCTGTCTGTCCCACAGGATGCTGGGGACCTTTGTCCCACTTACCTGCAAAGTTGATACAAACTGAATGGTGCTGACCAGGGCAAGGGCACTGGCTGGGGGAAAGGTGAGGCGGATAGAGTCCAGGAAGTGGTTAGTGTCTATCCGGATGTCCACAAAGACATACAGTACCCGGAAGTCTTGGATAGAGGTGTCCATTGGAACTGAGGGTAAAGAGTTCAGGAAACTGTTTGAAAAGCAGGAAGGACAGAGAACCTGGCTTGGTCCCTGGTTTCTAAGCAGCCAGGACCAGGGTTTCAGCCGGGGAGAATGAGAGGGGAGGGAAGGAAGGGGTCACAGGTCCCCTAGAAGGTCCTTCTCTGTCACTCAGCTGGGGGCCCAGCCTGCTCTACCACCAAGAGCCTTTCAAACACCCGCATCTGGGACAGCAGCATGGTTTCCAAGGCAACCATAACCAAAGGAAAGATCCACCTGCAGAGCAGGAAGGCCAAGGCCATCCCAGAAAGTAGGAGGGTCCTCATGACTGCAAGTGGGACAAGAAGGTACTATGCTGGAGATCAGTGTGGATCTGGTCTCCCTGCCAGTGTCCAGGTTTCTTGCCCTGTTATACCAAGGCAGCTGTGGCCATAGTGCACCAAGAAGTCAGCTCCCAGGGCTCTTGCAGTAAAGTCATCCACACAGCAAGCTCCATAGGTGACATCGCCCATCACCATCACTTCGGCCTCTGTGAACCTGTAGGGGTAAGGGTGAGGAACAATGGGGCAGTGACACAAAGAATAAGGTAGGGGAGAGTCCTAACTCTGTGGAGGTGTCCCAGGGCCCAGCTCCTCTCTCCCCACCTCTTTCAATTCCTTGGTTTGGCAGCTGCCATTTCTGCCAACAAAGAGTAGGAGGGGCACAGCTGCCACCTCCCTCAGCCCTGGCAGCAGCTCCTGGAACAGTTGTTGCATGAGATGTCTCTGCAGCACCCTGACTCCTCTGCCTGAGCTCAGACTGCAAGAGGGACCCCCAGTCCTCAGCTGATCATGCATGGAATCCAACACGGACCCCTAAAGTCCTGGCTCATCTCACCCAGGGCTGTGAGCATGTACACACAAAGGTCCCTGCTCCCATGTCCTGGCATTGTGGGATACATGGCCCTGGATAGGCTGAGCCTCCCTCTTGCCCAGACCCCTGCTACCTCCCCACCTAGAAGCAAAGCCCTGGGTGCCCAGGAGGGGGGACCCATGCACAACCCCCCCACAGCACATGGCATCGCCCACATGCCTCAGGCATCAGGAAGAGTGGGCTCTGGCCAGCACACTGCCATGGGATCTGTAGGCCTGAATCACTGGTGGGTGGGGAAGACCCTGCACCCACTGAAGTCACCATAGGAAAAAGCAGGAGGCTGAGCTCTTCCCTCAAAGAGTCCCACACCTGGGATGTGGACCATGGATCAGTGACTGGGGTCTCCGTTTCCTCCCCCTCTCAGCTTTTTCCTCCTGAAGGGCAGTAGGGAAAGCTGAGCTGCTGCCAATCAGCCCCCTACTCCGCCCCCTTCCTCAAATCAGGCTGTGCACAGAAGCAGATTATTCAGCTCCTTAGAATGCAGCCCAGGCTCTGAGTCAGCCAGAGCACTTAATTTTTTATAGATTAAAATGTATGCAAATTGGCCTGAGCCCCAGAGAGCATCCCCAAGGGGCAAGAGGGTGGGAGCAGGGAAGTGGGTCTGCAGCAGCAGGAAGGGGGGACAGGTTGGGGGGAGGGCAGCAGCAGGGAAGTGGGAGGCTCCCAGCATGAGATGACCTCCCCCTTCTTTATTCCCCCTCCTAGTGCCTGTGCTGGTTCCAGATGGCTGAGCACTCATCCCCCCCAAGATGGCTCATTGTATTGAAGAAACTTAAAAAAGGAGGGGGTGGGGGTAGAGGAACTGGAATACCTTTCTCAGGAACCTCCCTCCTCTTGCTCCCTGAGAAAAAGATGCCTCCCCAGAGAGACCCCCCTTGCCCCTTTTCAGGGTCAGCTTTGAGTAGTCTTAGATTCCTCTACCTCATGATCTAGGACTAGCTCTGAAGAGACTAGAATTAACTTCTTCCTCCTGCTCAAATTGTATAGAAGAGGAGAAAGACAAGTGGGATTCTCAGCAAGCTGGGAGTTTTGTTTTGGATTGCTCCCTTTGTGTGTGTATGACTGTGGGAGGAGAAAGGGAAAGACAGATGTCCAGAAGGGGAAATGATGTGGACAGCCAGGCTCTAAGGGGCAAGGAAGAATCTTAGCTTCATCTCCAGTATCCCAAGCCTCACCTTTCCAAGATATCCACAATGGTGCAAGCGAAGAGGAGGAGGCCTTCAGGCATTTGTAAGGCCACTAAAAGACAGAACAGAGACATGAGGCTGAGGGCGACAAGAGGCTTCAATGGAGATCCAGCCCCATGTCTGGCCAGGCAACCTTTCTACTCCACCTTAGCTCAATGTGTGGGGGCTCACCTTTTTTGGCCTGGGCTTGTTGAATCCTCCAGATGGTCTTGGGGATCTCAAAGTTATAGTTGGAAGGCAGGACTTTAATGGCTGTCTGCAGCTGGGGGTTGTTCAGGATCTCAGGGGGTATCTGATTGGCCAAGCGCCCTCGAGAGGTCCGACCTAGGACAAATATAAGGCCTGAGTTTATGTCTGACCTAGATCATAGCCAGACCCAGCATAGCTGTTAATACCAAGTTTAAGGCACAGATCCCACATACCAAGAAGGTTGGCCCAGATTTCTTCCCCACTGAATTTATCCTCAAGTAAAGAGACAACCCATTAAATCAGAAGAGCATCTGCATGTTTCCATGCTGTGAGATTATTGGGACTCAAAAACTTAAGTCCATGAATGGGGTATGGCTCGCTCCTTCTTTATCTGAGGAGAAAAGAGGCAACACCAGGGGGCTGAGGAGAAAAGGGGGGCAAGTCTGAGTCCACAAAACTATTCCTTGATAGGGAACAAATGCATGGAAAACCCAAGAGCCTATCTAGCCAGGCCAACCAGTCTGAGAAAATGTCCATCCTTCTCCAACCCTGAGAACACTTATTAGTCTCAAGGTCCTAGATATGAGATCTATAAGTAAACTGTTACTAATTTAAGACTGTGCCAGGTGTGGTGGCACATGACTGTAATCCCAGCTACTCAGGAGGCTGAGACAGGAGGATCATAAATTCAAGGCCAGCCTGGACAATCTAGCAAGGTCTTATCTCAAAGTAAGAAATAAAAAGGGCTGGAGCTGGGCACAGTGGTGCACACACACACACACACAGTGGTGCACACAAACAGCTAGGTGTGTGTGTGTGTGTGTGTGTGTGTGTGTGCTAAGACAGGAGGATCGAGTGTTCAAAGCCAGTCTCAGCAAAAGCACAGCACTAAGCAACTTGGTAAGACCCTGTCTCTAAAAAAAAATATAAAATAGGGCTGGAAATGTGGCTCAGTGGTTGAGGGCCCCTGAGTTCAATCCTCAGTACCCCCCACATACCCCCCACACACACACACACAAAGGGCTGGGGATGTAGTTCAGTGGTAAGCACTCATGGATTCAATTCTCAGTACCAAAAAAATAAAAGATTGCCCTCCTGAGTCCCACTGACTATGCCCACAGTGGTTAATTCTCGCACTATTCCCTCTCCTCACTTAAAAGGGAAATAAACAACATAAATTACATTGACTTAAGTTCTCTAGTCTTGTTGTTCCTCCTTACTCCCAACACAGGAAAACCAGAAAGAACACTAGTCAGGACTGTGGAATAACAGGTAAGGACAGAGAAGTGACTTTGCCCTTCAGGAGCTAGCAGTCTACCGGAGGCAAAAGAGACCTATACAAATAACAAACCCTTAAATAAAGGAGAAATTATTGTAGTTTTTTAGCAGGGCTGCAGCCCTTATTCTGGACTCATACTCTCTAAAATGTAGTTTAGGGTTGGGGATATAGCTCAGTTGGTAGAGTGCTTGCCTTGCATGCACAAAGCCCTGGGTTCAATCCCCAGCATCAATAATAATAATAATAATAATTAATAAAATGCAGTATAGTTCAACTCTTGTGCTTCTCTTTAGGAGCTACACAATTTGGGAATGTGAAAAGGCAAGAAATTAATTTCTTCAAAAGTACTTATTGAGCCTGTACTATGTACCAGAACTTCTACTCCAGCCCATATCTGTGCCTTCACCCACTGTGTAGGGGAAGTCATAGCAGCTCAGTAAATTCCTTGGCCGGGCAGGAAGGGGCAGAGAGGAACTAGCGCCTTGCAGGCTGGGGCTGAGATCAGATTTGAATGCTACCACTGTTATGATTTCTCGGTTAGTTATTTCAAAGCTGTGAGCCTCTGGTAGAAATCTCTTCTGACAGGCCCAAGTCTTTGTGATCTTGGGCGGGCAGGCGCCTCCTCCTCATCTTGGTTACATCAATTACAACCTGTAAGACTGAAATCCTGAAAGAAGGGCTGTATCCCAGTCCCTGAAACTAATACAGTCCTGGCACTCAGTGGACACTCCTTTAGTGCCCAGTGAATGAAACCATGCGCCTCTTCCCAGAAACATTCCTTCAGAGGCCACTTGTGAAATGCCCGGTGCAATCGGCCTGACCCCTTTCCTCCTCCTTGGGTCCATCTTATTCTTCAATCTGGTGTCCGTCTGCCAGCCACGGCAGAGGGGTGGTTTCCGACGTGAAGACTACGAACTCCTAGGAGGGGCTGCTCTCCACCGCGCCCTAGGGCTACGAAAGAAGAGGGGGCCCCTTGAGCTCTGGTGACAGCCGCCCAAAGCGAGTAACAGCGGAAACTTCCGGAACTGGCGAAGAAAAAAGGCCAGGGCTGGTTCTGTCCCTCACTTGGGGACCCCATCCTGAGAAGCGAGGTCTGGAGGCCGCAGAGTTGCTGCACCCACCTCTGCCGCGGCTGTTTCGGCTGCCCGGCTCAGCCGACTCCGACCCAACCAGAGCCTCCATCATGGTCCAGCCCACGTGGGGACCAAAAGACAGCACTAAACGAACACGGAGCGAGCAGGCATTGCGAACGATCGCCGACCGGCGAACGAGGGGCGGGGATTCCCTCTGGGCGGTGACCACGAAGGAGGAGATAGGGGCGGGGCTATAGTGGGTCCCGTCTCGGGTTCGGAAGTCAGGACTCAAAAGTGTCCAAGTGATCCCATACCACCACAGTTGCCCTCTCCCTGCGACCTTGTCCCCCACTCCCCTTCCTGGCCTGGCTCAAAGCTGGCGCACCCAAACCAGTGCTCCCCTATGTGCCTGCGTGAGTTCTGCAGGCAGAGTTTTACAAAGGGGGACACCTATTGGGTCTCCCTATGGCTCCTCTTACTCCCCACCTGGCAAGGAGTGATCTGCCAGACGCCGCATTCCCTTCCTCAAAGGACCCCACTACTCGTGCAGAAGGGAACTAATTCAGGCTGCCAGCCCAGCTCCAAGTTGAGAACCTTGAATGTGTATTTCGGGAGCATCCCTGGTGCCCTTATCACCTCAAGAGGTCACCATATGGGAGGTTCACACAGAGGAAGCTGCTGCACTGAGAAAGACCTGGAGCGTTTCCTGGAGCATCCTGAGGACTCCTTAAACTCGCTTAAACTTTCTGGATCCTTGCCTCTTTTCCCCTGTGTATGCTGCCCCTCAGGCTTAGCTAGCCTTTCTTCTGATCAGTGGCCAAAGATCCTGGGACCCCAAAGAGAAGGCACAGCAACCAATGAGACAGAGTGGACCTTTGGAAGAGCAAAGTGGATTAAGGACTGGACCTCAGCAAAGTCTGCCTCCTGGACAGTGGTTGCCCCAGAACTATTTGGCCTCCGAGCCCCTTGGCACATTTCTTCCTCGCTGTATAGAGCTACAAGCACAACTGGCCCTTTAAGGCAGCTCTGTGGCCTCAGGCTCCCCTGGAGGCCCTCCCTGCTAGGAAACCCCTAATTAAGGTGCAGGGAGAAGGGAAAACAAACAGCCAGGGACAGGCCCAACCTGAGAAACTGCCCGGGGTGGAGGGATCGCTAGGCAGACTGGGAGTGAGCAACTAAGGAGAGATCAGAAGGGTCAGTTCTCTGCCCCTCAGGCCACTGGCATTCTTAGGATAAATACAACTTGGTCCAGAATGTGACCAGCATGAGTCCCGGGAATACCCCTCTTACTTTAATAAGAGTCCAGCATCAACTTCCCATCTCCCCCAGCTTCCCTGGACCCTCAGGGTGCAGGATCTGAATTCCAGGAGCCCTATACCTCACTGCTCAGGACACCAAGGCCCAGCCTGATGGGGAGACCCAGGCTACCATTAGAAAACCAGGCAATACTTAGAACTGGACACTAAAAACAGATGTGAGAGTACTCCCTCAGACCCTGTAGTGCAGGACATTGGGGGCTGCCATTCAACTTGGGCTGAGGATACCTCCCATCTGTCCGCGGGGGTCTCCCTTCCCAAGTTACTCAGCAATCTGAGTAATTACTGCGTGACAAGAAGGCAGGCACAAAGCACCCCCTACATTACACCACAACACCTGCCTACAGCCACCCCCAGCCTCTGGCTGGTCTCCAAAGCAGCACCCAATCCTGAGGCCTGAAATAACTGTTTCTCACAAGCCACCCAACTTTGCCTGAGATGTTGGAGTTTGTGGGGCAGGGGGTCATGAGGAGGCAGCTTGGGGAGGTGGAAGAAGAATTAGCATACCAGATTCAGGTCCACACTTTATTGATATGCATTGTAACAGTAAGCAAGACGTTCAACCTCTCTGGGCCTTAGTTTCATGGAGGACCTCTGCAGCTCTCAGTATCCTAGAGTTAATGCTGGTATCTGTCAAACAATGCTCAGGTAGTGTGTGTAGTCAGTTATAGGCTTATAGCTGGTGGAGGGAAGAAAAGGAATGCCTGCCTTATCTTCTGTTCCTACCCAAGAGGGACAAAGCTGAACTATCTTCTGAACATGATCCTTTCTCAGTTTCAAGCATTTGCACAGAAATTCTCCCCTTCCTGGAATGCTCTTTCCCCTTGGCCTAATGAACTCAGCCCTCAAGGGTAACCTCTGCTGTCCATGTTCCCTGGTTATCCTTTACCCTTTTATAGAGCTGGCAGAGTCCCTACCCACATGTTGTAACTTCTGTCACATTCTAAGATGGCTTATAGGTCTTTCTTCTTCCACTATGACATACTTTTTGCAAATCCAGACCTCTGCCCTTAGCTCAAACCTGGAGCCTCAGAGTCATTGAATTCGTATATAAGCACATGAATAATGGCTTTCTTGTTTACCTTCCTATGGTGTCACATTCTCCTCCAAGAACTCTTACATTAGATCTCTGCTTAGATGTCACTTGCTTAAAGCAGCTTTCCCTGACTTGTAGTCAAGCTCACTACCCGGCTTGTTTTTCTTCCAAACACCATCATATCATCCAGACTTTCCTCATTTGGTCGTATTATAAAACGTAAATGAAGAGGACAGGGATCTTGTCTTTTTCATTGGCTGAATTTCCAGAAACAGTGCCCCACACCTTCAATAAATGTGTCTTGAATGAGTGACCTGGCCCACTCTTATTCTAGGCCAGTAGGGGGTGCCGGCCTCCATCCAGGATCTAGCGGGCTTGAACCTTCCCTACACTCAGTTCAATCGGGTCCCTCAGGGTGCCTCAGCGGTACCTCCTCCATTTTCTGAGAATCCCAGGGCGGGGTCGGTGTGGACTGAGATCAGAACCGCCCCCTACCCCGGGCGGATATAGCCCACCCGAACCCCGCACCGGTCCCATCCTACGGAGTTTGCAACTGGACCTCCCCGAATGCTTGCTACCCCGCACCTCTCCCCCAAAAGACTAGTGTCCTGGGACGCGGGATGAGGGATGTCTTGGGTTCGCCCGAGCTTCAGTGGGCTGGGAAGAGCCGTCGAACCTCGAAGAAGGGGAGCTAGCCCGGGAGGAGATGGGGCAGGAGTGCGGACTTGAGATTTGGACTTTGGGTGGCGGTCCTTGGGTCCCCAGCCCGTAGTCAGGGCGCACGTTTTCAGTCGCTTCTCCAGATGACCTCCAGCCCGGAAGGGCGAGCGGGCGGGGGCTGGGCTGGGTTGAGCTGCAGCCCGGCTCAGAGACGACTGCGGGGCTGGGGAGGGGCGTACGAGTGGCTCGACGACTGGCCCTGGGGCTGGGTCAGGTACTTGGACGGACGCGGGCAGAGGATCGTCCCCCGGGGCGGACGCCGCGAAAACACCTTGGGAGGCGGCGCCGCACGGCTGAGCGTCGCTGCCCTGGGAATAGGACGGCGCTCGGCACCGCGAGCTGAGAGCACTTTCATAAATTTTGTATGGGAGGCGCTCCGTGAGCGGGGGCGGGGAACGAAGCGGAGCAAGAGGGAGGGAGCTAGAGAGCGAGGGAGGGAGCGAGAGAGGGAGGGAGGAGGAGGTGGGGGAAGCCGGGGGGGTGGTGGTGAGGAAGGGAGGCGCCCCGCTCCGCGGATCGCTCGGTCCTGCAAACGCGCGCCGGGCGCTTTCCATCGAGCTCGACTGTGCTTGCGAGCGCCCTTTTGCAGCAGCCGCCGCTGCTGCTGCCCGAGGGGGCGGAGAGGAAGGGGCCGCGGCTGACCCGCCGCGGGGCGGCGTCCCCCATCAAAACCGCCTGCAAAGTGCTCTGGGCGGCAGAAGCAGGCCGCCGGCTCCGCGGAGCAAGCTGCTCGCCCCGGGGCTGAGCGAGCGCACTGGGCTGCCAAGCAGTGCCGCGGTTGCTGCCAGGCGCCGGTGCCCTCGGCGCGGGGCTTGGACTCACCATGCCCCTGCGGGGCCGGGCCGCCGGGCACAAGCGGATCCCGGGTTTGCCCCCGCCTCGATGCGCTCGGATTAGCTGCAGCTGGCGCCCGGGGATTTGAATCTGGACCCCAGGAGGGAGCGCTCCTAGGCCGACCTCTGAGCGGCGGCCCCGCGGCCAACATGCTTCGCAAAGGTGAGTTGGAGCCTCAGGGGCAAGTTGGAGTTGGGTGTGCACTGGGCACAGCCACGAGCCCAGGAGCTGTCCGGCGCCAGGGCTCCGCTTCCGGAGGCAGTCCCCAGCGAGCTGGCGGGCTTTGTCGGACGCACCTACCTAGGGGCTGCTGTTGCAGCTTAGCTCCTATCGGTGCGATACACGGGCTTTGCTCCATGGATCAAGTGGCCAGGCCTAAGGATCTGGTTTAAAGGATAGGTCCGAGACTGGAGCGAGAGGCCGGTGGTAAAAGGGAGCTAGCCTCCTGGGACCTTTGATTTGCCATTATAAAGTTTTGCACTTGCAGGCTCCGTTCCCTGCGCTGGTACCCAACTCTGCTTCCGATGCTTCGGCAGGGCTAGGTCCAATCCGCGCTCCAGCGCAGCTAGCGGTCTGTCACCGCGCGGCCCCGGCGCTCATCGCGCGCCCTTGCTCCCCAGGCGGGGCCCCAAACGCGGACACTTTCACAGTAGTCCTGTTTTATCCCCAGAGACGGACTATGGGCACCCAGCAGCTGAGGGTGGGGTATGGCAAACGCCTGAAGTCCTGATCCTCAAACTTTCTTTATGCCTGGAGAGGAGGGACGCGAAGGCGAAAGCCGTGCCGGTTGTGTGTGTGGCCGGTGCCAGGCTCAACTTAAAGAGACCTGGCTCCACGACCAGTTCACCCGGACTCCTCAGCAACCCAGTCGGGTACCGACCGCTGCAAAGTTGGCGCGGGTGCGGGGGAAGTCCCGCCGCGCCCCCACGTGGTTGCAGCGCGGGGTACAGTCCCTCGGGCCCAGAAAGGGCAGGTGACCACGCCGTGAGCCCACCGGCCCCGCCACCCGCCGCTCCAGCCTCGGCCTCTCTCCCTTCCAGATAGTAGTAGCCGGCTGTGGTGCCCCGCTGGGACTCCCCTAGTTCTTGGCCCCGGCCAGGCAGCTGCCGGGGCTCGGCGCCTGCGGCTGGCTGCCCCGGCCCTGCGGGAGCCGGCTGAAGAGGGAGCTCAGGTAGCGGAGGGGCCTGATCCCTGCGCTCTGCGCTCCAGCCTTAATCCGCCCCTGTTTCCATGGCAACAGACCGAGGTGTCGTAAGCACAGGATTCTGACCTCACAGCAGGATGGGGAAGGAGAAAACTGGCAGGGGGAGGTGGCGGAGGTTGGGGGAAGCAGAGCCCTGAGATAGGCGAATAGAAGCGGATGTAAGGTGATAGAAAAGACCCAGATAAACTGGCCAGGCAGGTGGGTAAAGGAACCACGCCTTCAGTGGGGGCAGGAAAGGCTGAGCGGTGGTCCCTTCTTGCCCAATCGTGGAGATTGATTGCCCCGTGGTGTAGGAATAGTCACAAACTTGAGTGTGACTTGTGCCCTCCACGTGGGTCGGTACAGTGCCAGGAAAACACTGAGTGTATTTTGCTGTGGTGTGGGAAGAAAGTCTGCTGCTGGCTGGAGAAACCACTTCACTGATACACCCCAGTTCCTTTTCCCTGCACAAAGGCACAAAAAGTCTTTTCAGCAAGCAGGCGGTGCTGACAGAGTGTCTCCACACAGAGAAGGCACTTTTTACAGAGCTGAGCACAAGCCCTGGTCTGTGAAGCTTGGGCCTGGAGCCGACGAACTTGCCTTCCTTGTGAGGGTTTCCCAGGCAATTTTGAAAGGCCACCATGCCTGGGCTGTAGGTCTGTGTTGGAGATAATAGAGAAGAACTGACATCTCATTTCCCTTTTGGTCTTTTGGCAGTTTACAGTTAAAAATGAGCCACAAAGCAGCCCACACACTTTATTTATATGTTTTAGGTGCCCAGGAGGCTCTAGCATCCTCTAGGAGATTTCTCTCCTCTTCTTGCCAGGGTGCATTCTGGGGGCTGCTCCCTGAGGGGATGCTCCTTACCCTGCTCCAGAGGTAGCCACTGGAGACTTGACAGTCACGTGTGTTTGCCACTGGAGCTGTTTTTCCCTTCCTGCACTGCCTGGTTGGTGGGAGAGGTTCCACCAACAAAGAGGTTTGTACTTGGATTGACCAGAGGGAAGAAGGACAAGGAAGTCCTTTTCAGGGCTCGCCTTGGCTTGGGTGGCCTAGAGCCTGCTTCTGGGGCATTGTGTGGGCAAATGATTCTTGCTCTGGTCCTTTCTTGGGTAGCTTTCTCTCTTGGCCCCTGATCCCGATCCCTTATGGTCTCTCTGGCACACGTGTATATATATACAGGACACTCAGATTCTCTATGTGGATTCTAGGTGTGTACCTAAAGCTAAAAGTATGCCTCAGGCTAATGCCAAGGGAGGTGACCATTGAAGTGTCTGCTTCTAGAATTGTTCCCAAAGGCTCCAAGCAATAATGTTATAGGATGGATTGAGAAGGTTATTGTCTGTCAGATGCAAAGCCTGTATGAGGTCCTGGACCTGAGTGAGTTTAATAGCTTAATTATGGTTTTGAAAAGGGTTTGAAGGATGAAGAAAGAATAGCTCTCCCAGTATTCTTTTTTTCTCTCTTACCTTTCTGCCAAAGATAGGGATCCTGTTTTATAACGGAGTGCTGTGTGGAATTAGGAGGCTCAGTAGTTTGAAGGCCCAGAGGAAGAAGAAAACAGGAGTAAGCTTTGGATCATGAGAGTCATCTCTCCTATTAAAGCTGTCCCCTGGAAGACGATTTGGGGAGGTTTTGGGGTACTACTTTACATCTGTCAATGAGCAGACTCTACTGGCCATAGTCCCACCTCTGTGGTAGGACTAAAGGCTTCGGCAGCTGCTCTGTCTGCTTTTCTGTCTCCTGGCCTACCCTTGCAGAACCAGGGGCATAAAAAGCAAATCTCTGATCAAGAGTTGACAGGCAGGCAGGGTAAGCAAGGCCCTGAGCCATCCAGTAATATCCAGGAAAGAAGGGTGGCCTGCTAGGGGGGTTTGCTTTGCCAGAAGTGGCCTGCTTAAGGTCAGGATCTATGGTTTTCATTTTTAGAGCTATAAAAACAGAATGCAAATCAACAGCCTCTGGGCTAACACAGAATCTTTCCTTAAAGTTTTTGTCTTGTTAAGCAAGGAAATAGAGTGCCAAATAGGCTTTGTTAAGTGGCAGTCTAATTAATAATTTAAAATCTTGTAGCTGTCTTTCATTAGAATTTATCTGTACATCAACCACAAAATCAGTCAAACACACTCATTTATAAGTTAATGCCATCCCTGAATAATTCAGCAAGAGCTAGATTAAGGCCTGCAACCCAGTAAGATGCATTTTGTTCTCTTGGTTTCCATAGCCAGACGGGCTGGCCTGGTTGCTGCATCGGGCTTCTCCTTTGTGGGAAGAAGGGAAGGCAAAGGGAGTTGGGGATCATGGTTTTGTCAGGCGACTGGTGAATTTGAGTTCAGAGATTCCCTGGGTGATTGGAGAGTCTCCTTGTGGCCAGGTGTGAGCGGGTTCCACCTCTGCCTCTTTGAGGGCAACCAAGACTCAGAGCTGTTGATAATGAAGCCCTTCTTAGCCTCAATGGAGAAAAGAATGTTTCTTGGATGGTCAAGATACTTTCTTCTGCTATCAAGGAGGTGTAGAGGGGAAATTCAAGAGCCTTTCTCAAGAGGACTGAGACAGGAGGCTGCTTAGCCCAATTCCAGGTGCAAAGGTGGAATTTCAGTCTTTCTAGCCTACTTCTGTCCTCATCAAGGAATGTAGCCTGGTGGAACCAATCTCACCAAAATGCTTCCTCCAAGAGTAGCTTCTAATGGGCTACGTCTCTCCTCACTCCTGGTCCTTACACCAGGAAAGAGAAGTCAAGAGGAAGAATTTTAGGGGAGTACTAGGACACCCCCAGCAGAGAGGAGAGGCAAAGGAAGTTGCTAAGTAAAGCCCATGCATGCGTGTTCTCAGCAGCAGCCAGAATAGAAGCAAGGCAATGCAATGTTCCCCCAGTGAGCTCAGATGACAAGAAAATGTGCTTTGGTTCAGTTCCTGTTATGCCAATATGGGGACAGTTCCTTACTGCAGAATCTTCAGGTACATTTTCTACAGGGACACGGTCTAGAACTCAAACTCCCAGCATGTGCACTGGTTCCTCCACTGCAGGAATGAGCCCCAGAGCTTCTGGTCTTTGCTTCTGCCTGCCAGCCCTGTGGAGGGTGAAATGCCACCATTTATAGACCAGGTAGAGATCCAGGGCAGACTTGATGCCAGGAGAGATGCTTGACCAAATTTGAGACAAGGAAGTCTCGTTAGGAAAAGGAGAAGGCAGGGGAAGGGATAGGTGTTTGTCCCTTGACCCTGGGGCCGAGTTGACAGCAGTCCCCCCGGGAAGGGGAGGCTTGTGGGGTGAATCCTACAGCAAGCTCTGGCTGTGTTTGGGATCGGGGCCTGGGAAGGACAGAGCAGTTGGCTCTGATGTGAAGAGAAGGAGGGGCCGGCGTCTTGAAGGATGTCAAGAACAGATCTGTTTGGTACCATCTGCAGCGAAGTAGTGGTTAAGGTTAAAGCAAAGAGGAGATGACAGGGAGGGAACAGATGGCCAAAGAAGCAAAATAGCTGGCGAAACGGGAACAGAGCCTCTAGGGATGGCAGAAGGCAGGACCTCCGCACTGAGTGCCGGAAGCAGCCCTTTCCTTGGGGTGTGATGGCCAGGCCACCCTGGGTAGAAGTGAGTCAGAAAGAGAGGGGCAAGGCAGGGACCCCTGTATAAGGGCTCCCCCAGGGCCTGGGGGAAGACCCAGGGAGCTACTGACTCCAAAGCTAAGGGTTCCAGGTGCAGGGACCTTCTTTGATGTTGATGAATTCAGGTGAAAAGGTATAACTGTCTTAGTGTCCATCACTAAAGCAAGGTGAAGCTACCTTGGCTCTCACTGAGCATGCCTAGGGGAGCCTTCTGGGAGGAGCTATGATACCAGCTGAAAACAGGCAACAGGGAATGAACCGCTCTTCTCAACTACCTTGGATCCATTTATGTCAATCCTTGTACACATACGGATGATGGCTGCCTGTGTTTACTGAGCACTTACTACGGACCAAGCCTTATCTTATGCCTTCTTCACACCCATCCTGTGGGATCCATCTGTGCTTATTTCCACTTTAAAGCTGAAGAAACTGAGGCACAGGCAGATGCAATCTTGGTCCCTAGGTTACCCAGCCGGCACACTGCTGAGTCAAGTTGCAATCCCAAGCCCATGTTATCTTTGCTCTCTCAACCCCTAAACTCCACTGTCTCATGTGCCCATCTGTCTTGATTTCTGTGACATTTGTTTTGTAGGGTGCTGGGTGCTGCTGAATCATTTATGTCCTGGTAGTTCCCCTGTACTCCCTTCCTGTATTCTTCCAGGAGGCTTTATGACTGGCACTCAAGGTCCCAAGCCACTGTCTCATGCCATCCTCTTGGACTGCTCTGTCCACTTTTGTCTGGACAGTCACACTCCTCACCTCTGTCTCCTGCACTGGTTTTCTCATTGCAGACAGAGATGGGATGACCTCCTACCTGTTTTCATAGCCTGGAGAAAGGCCCAAGGCCATGGCTGATTTGCAGCCTGAGCCCTACTTGGGTTCTCTGCCCTCCCCATAGGTTGCTCTCCTTGGCTTTTCTTCCAGGCTGACCTGGTAGACTGAACAACCCAGCCAGACTGGTTGTTGATGATATGGTGACCAACAGCCCCAGAACACACTGGCCCTGGTGGAAGACCCCTCCACCTGTCCAGCCTAAGCCTGCCAGCCAGGATGGCACCTAGAGGACTTAGAGCTGTCCTGTGACTTAGGGCTTCTTCTGTTCCTTTCCAGCCATGATTGAGTCTCAGAGACCAATTCTTCTTGCAGTTTTCTTGGAAAAGAAAGAAAGCTGGATGCAGTGGCATTAGGTCTCTAATCTCAGCATCTTGGGAGACTAAGGCAGGAGACTCACAAGTTCAAGGCCAGCCTGGGCAATTTAGCAAGACCCTCAGCAACTTACCAAGACCCTGTCTCAAAATTAAAACAAAAATGTCTAAGAGTGTAGCTCAGTGGTAGAGCATCCCAGGTTCATTCCCCAGTACCGCTAAAAAAAGAAAGGAAAAGAAA